CCTATTTTTCAAACTTTCGTCGTCCATGGGATTTGAACCCTAGACCTGCTACTTGGAGAGGGTGACGACTTGACCACCTCACTAAGCTGCCACACCCCATTTATATATATATATATATATATTTATAAACTGTATTTTATAATATTGGTTAAGTTATATATGTTTATATATTGTAAAGTTACTAAATGTTTTTGTTGCATTTTTTATAATAATTCATTTTAAAATTTGTTTTTTTTAAAAATTTTTGATGTTTAATGTTTTTCATATATTTTTATATCTTTAAATTTTTTTTTTAATTTTGTAGAATTTCTTTGTATACTACATTTCGCGTATATGTTCCTTGCATGCCGTTTATAGTGCCATTTTTTACTAACACTTTAGTGTTATCTTCAGATCGGGCTCGCGAGAATGCGACATAAAGTTGACCATGTGTAAATACATATTCAGGGAGGTAAAGGCCTACGTAAGATAGCGTCTGACCTGGGATTTGTTGATAGTTAACGCGAAGGTGAGTTTGACTGGGAATTGTTTTCTTTTTAATGTGAATGAGAGCTTTATTTTATCAGAGATGGTTAATGGTATTCAAGGAAGAAATATGGTGTTTCCTTAACAGTTTCCTGTAGCTATTGTAGCTTTTATTACATTTGGATAAAATTCTTGGCATATTAATTTCGTACCATTGCACAACCCGTTTACTGGGTCTAGGTTGCACAGACATAAAATTGGTGTACCTGTTTTCAGATATAATGCATGAGGAGGGAGACCGTTTGGTGTTATAGAGCTTAGATATTCTTGTTGGTAGAGTCCACGTGTATCATCTGGAACACAGTCATAACTTTTGTATACTATAGTATCGCCAGGTGTTCGTTTTAGTATCATGTTGTTAATTCGATCAACACATTCGTTCTTAGGTGTGAGAATAGCTCGGTTTGAAAAGTATGAGGTATCTAAATAATATCTATTTAAATTCAGATAGATGTAGTCGATAAGATTTTGTAAAGATTCTTCATTGTTCCAAGGTATGACTATATTATCAGGAATATGTATCATATTGTCTTCGATAGTCGGTTCAGTTCCATTTCCAATATTTAATAAAAAGTCTTCGAAATGATTATGATCATTTTGAATTCTCATATTTACGTGTAGTTTAAAAATTTCTAGTGCAAACCATATATAAGAACTTTTTAAAGTGGTATTTACAATCTGTTCACGACTACCCCTCGGAACTACTAGTAATATTTGGCAGAAGTCTCTACCAAATATTATTAGTTTTCCTCCAAACGGAAGATCACATCCTATTAAATCCTTAAGTGTTTTATCTAGAGCTTCTACTGCATAACAATGTATCATGGGAATTTCATCCCATATGATTAACTTAGTTAGACATAATAATGTAGCTACCTGGCTCTGTTTGCTTATATTACACATTAAGCCTGCTTCTGATGTTAAAGGTATATTGAAGCATAGATGGGCAGTTCGCCCTCCTGGCATAATTAACGCGGCTATGCCGGATGAAGCCGTTGCAAGGGCTATGAAAGACAGTGAACGTATTTTATTAAGCAGGCAGAGATACAGAAAAGTTTTTCCGAACCCTGCTGTACCATCGACAAAGAAGACGCCAGGTTGGTTATTTTTAATACATTCGAGAACTTTGTTAAATATTATTTTTTGACTTTCGTTTAATAATGTTATTTTTTTTAAATCATTTTCATTTATTATAATATTTAGTTCTTCGAGTATTAGTTTCAGTAGTTCTTCTTGGTACTGTTCTTCTGATAAATTGAGTGACGGAAGATCAAATTTATCTAGTTTCTTGTTATGTTGTTCTAAAATACTTTTAATGTGTAAAAGAACTGCATTGATTTGGCATTGATCATCGGGGATTTCATTCCTCATAAAATCTTCAGACATATCGATGAAATTTTTATTCCACATAGTTCGAACATTTCTTAGTTCTCCGAATACTAAAATAATTGCAAATAGCCAACGCAAAGTATATGGCATCTGGAATCTAGCAGCTTCTCGCATAGTACTGCTATATGGGTTTTCTATTTCGATAATTCTGTGTCTTAATGCGCTTTCTCTAAAGGTTGCGCACATATAATTTTTAATTTTTCTTAGATCGTTGAAGGAAGTGGCTCCTTTGATATGATTTAGAAGTAACCGTAAATAATACTTTTCTCCTTCATTTGGATTTACAGCATAGATCCTTCTGATTGCGTTTCCTTGGGTACGTTTTGTCTATTTCTTATTCATTTTATTCCAAACGTAATAACGTGGAAATTCATGGTAAAAATAATTTTTAGCATTTGGGTCATTTTTGTTTATTTTAAAGTATTTAGTTAATATTGTTTTTTTATATTGATCGTCGTTAATAATATTGTTGAGTTCAGTGTTTTGTGAAAAGATTACTGTTTGTTGATGAGGAAGGTAAATTTGTAAACGAACTACTGATGGATTAATTTGTGACATGTCAAAACTAAAAATTCTCCAGCAGGATTCTGAAGCTGAAATCTATCGTGCATCTATGTATTGACTAATTTCGTCATTTTTTATGTTAAGTGCGGCTCTGTCGTGTCCTTTATATACGTATTTATACAAATACTTTACTAACTTTATGCTCGAACAAATTTCAACGTTTATGTGACAATTGTATTTATATGATAGATATGGGTTATAAGGGACAACCCAACAATTATCAAGCCACATTTTTTTGCGAAATATTCTACGTCCAATATCACGACGGCGATACACGGGGTAAGAATTATCACCTTCTTTTGTTGTTTGTATAAATTTTTTAGAATAACGCTTAGAACACACTATTTCTCATACATGGTGCTTCTAGATTGGCATGCCCACATGGACCATGCTTCATGTGAGATACTACGGTTTCGTACAACTTTGGTTCTGTTCTCAGATTTGGTATTTCTGCAGAAACAACAGCATTATAACAGTCAGCTCCGTGAAATTTATCTTCAGGATGGAGAATTACCAATAAGTGTGCATGCGGAAGTCCACGTTTTTGGAATTCCACAACATGTATATGTGCTATTACGCGACCAAATATGCCTCTATTGAAGATATCTGCAGTAATTTCTTTTAATTTGGCACGAAAAATTTGAGCTACAGAATTAAATAGATGATTTATTTTTAGTAAATTTGAATTTATATTAAATCTAGTATCGGTATATTAAAGTAATTTTAAAGTTATCTATAAGGATTATTATAAAATGCGAGTAATTTAGATGGTATTTCTTAGAGTTAATATATTTATTATTTAGATTTATTTAGAAATGCATTTAGAAATGTATATATATATATATATTCTCATATATTCATTTAGATTTATATATATATATATACTTGGATTGTAAAATATAATAGTTGTATTTGGGTAAGTTTGGATATATATATATATAGAATAAATCTTAATATAAAGTATTAACTCTAGTATATACCATCATATATATAAGTATTAAATTAAATTATTATATAATTATATAAGTAATATAAGTAACTTAGTATAGTATCGTTTAAAAATTCTAAATTGTCTTAGTTTTTTTAGTAATAAATATAAATATATATATATATATATACATTTTCTAGTAATAAATATAATCTTATATATATATATATATATATATTACTAATATTATATTACTAATATTATATTACTAATATTATATATTATATATATTTATATATTCTTACCCGTAATATCAGGTCTGTCCTGTGAATTTTGTACTTGTAAAAGTTCGGAAGAGACCTCGGTCCACTTAGAATTACAGGTAATTGTGATAAACAAATCTGGTTTACCAAAAGTCTGAACTAAGGCCATTGAATCCTGATATCGTTGATATAGATCGCGAGAACTTCCCATAAAGGATGATGTTAGGACAGTTTGAGTACCAATATTCGATGCATTTGTTATTCCTGAATAGTACGAATCATATAAACCTTGATAAAGTTCTTTACGAAGCTTATCTTGATTAAATCGTAAATAATTAAGTCGTTCGGACTCAATTTTGACATAGTTATCGACGATGTATTGTTAAAAAAGTCTACCTTCTAGATGAAGTAAAGACAGAGAATTTTGTCGTATATGTAATTTATATGCGTAATATTAACTTTTTTTTGCGATAAATTTTGTAGTATCCCAGGGTGCCAACCATGCTCACCGCGTGGGAAAAAAAGAGGATATTGAAGCGGATCATAAGACCTACTTAACTCAGAGACATATTGTAAGCCGTAAGATTTTGATCTTACAATAATGTCTCGTTTTATGATATCTAAAGGTTCATGACCTTCCACCCATATAGCTGCAACTTGGAAGCTGCTGAAGTATTATATATTCGTTGATCCAAGCCATGGTCAGCTTTAATATGAAGTTGAAGGTTGTTTATAAAGTTATGTGAAGAAATTGAGCGAAAATTAATGACAAACAGATTAAATTGATCTAATATTGATCCTAGAATTTCTAGAATGTCACGACGAAGCTTAGGCATAATAGTGAGCCTGTTATCTGTTTCATGTTCAGTATCATAAATATATAACTGAAGAAATCTTGGGGTATCATCATCTGGTATGAGAGATCCTATAGAGTGATATAGACCACCTTGTATGCGAAACGTATATACACCGTTTTTACCTTTCAATTATAGATAGAATTATAAATTATAAATTATAAATTATTATTATTATTATTATTATTGTAATATGATGTTAATTATATTTTTAATCGCATATATACTATTAATTATCAGATTCACAAATTAAATTATTTTTACCATTAGCAAGTGCTTTATCTATTTTAACTCCCATAGATGTAAAAGCAAAAGCGCTATTATAAGCACGAATATTAACGCGGAAATGATTCCCCATTTCGTCAGTTCTTGTGAACAAATTTTTCAAACGCGTAACATACTCAGTCGATGCCAATCTATTATATAATAAGTATATATAATTTAGTATAATATACTTATATTGTTATTATATATATTATTATTATTTGATTTGATTGTTGACAATTTATTATTTTTTTCTTAATTATTATCTTACTTAATTTTTCCGCTAATACAATATATTCCTTCTGTTTCACCAGAAAAGAGTTTAGCACCACAATAAGAACAAACTCGAGGAGGTTTCAGAGTGTGACGTACAGCCAAAGCTGTTTCTTGAAAATTCAGAGCAATTTTATACAATCTTCTTTTTCGTGGTCTATTTGTAGCTCGTGGTCGTCGAGATCTCTGATGTTCGGTATTATCATCATTATTATCTGTTTGAATGTTTTCAGTATTTACAGCGGGTTGCGGAAGTATATGGCGAAAAGGTGGCATTTCTAGTTGTCATAGACGACGAAAATAATGAATGATGAATGATGAATGATTATAAAATAAAATTGCAATATTCTTTTCTGCTTTTATAATGAAAATTTTTATTATTCAATAGTTAATTATCAATAATCAATAATTATTAATTATTATTTATTACTCCATTACAAATAATAATTAATAATAGTACAATATAAATAAATAATACAATTCAAATAAAATATAATATATCGATTTATACTATTGCGTCGATTTGGTTAACCTTAAAATTCGCTATGATCTAAAAGTACTTTTATTTTTACGTTATGTTATGTCATTGTTAAAAAGTAAAATGTCTTGTATGCATCAGTCACATTTATCGGTTTTACTCATTTAGTCAGGATGGCTATCTTCATTTTTAAATTTTAATATTTAACTTTAAATTAATTATATTATTATTATCATAGATTTAAATCAATTACATCATACATCATCATTATTATAAATTATGCTTGATCGATGTTCATGGTTAAAGCATGTGACTACAAAACTTTTAAAAAATACAACAATAAATATTTACTATACAGTATATTTATTTTATTCTGATTTTCAATATATATGTTTATAATCCCTCTCTCTTGTAAATAATTCTCGTTACAATTATCTATTATCGATTATCAAAGACTAATGTTATTAAATATAAATATATATATAAACATATATATGTTATATATTATTACATATATATATATTATTATACATTATATGTTATTTATATACTCTAATTGTTGATAAGTAAGGTGCTTTAATACGAAGGTATGCGTCACATTTATCGGCTTTACTGTTTTTAGTTAGAACAAAAGTAAAGATCATTTTTAATTTTTCTCATGTTCTTAAAATTTATTTAACTATAAATTAATTACATAATAAATTATTCATGACATTTGACTCTACTATGCTTACATACTTTTCATAAATAGTATTTAAATTTGTAATTACATCATAGATTACATCCGAACAATGATCATTTTGATTTCTAATGTGCGTTTATAATTTTTTCTCAATGTAGATAATTTTCTATTATTACATTACATACATTGTATTCCGAATATTAATTTTTGTCGAACCGATTTTAACACAATTATCA